GCATAAAAGAAAAATGGATAATTTTGACCCATACAATGTATTTTTGGCTATTGCTACAAATATACCCCAGCGACTTGAGACTGGTTTTGTGAAAAAAATAAATAAAACAATTTTTTCTCAGTAAATGTTAATTTTATTTAAGGTAACAATACTTAAACATTAAAATAAATTTAATAATTACAATTAAATTAATTAACTAAATGTTAACCGAAATATAAATACATAAAGCAACAATTCGAATTTAACCGAAATGACAAAAAAAATAAGACAAATTTTAAAACTTAAAGCTGGTAAAAGGTAACTCTATATGAAATTAAAAGCTATACTAGGATATCAGTGATATTAAAATAACTCTGATGTGGATTGATACAAGATACCGTCAAGAAAACGACCCGTTATGCAACAAAGCAAAAGTAATACAGTGCTTACGGCTCATTGATGATCCTCATGACGATCAGGCCGGCGATGGTTCCTGCATCTTTGGTGGCCTGGCGCTGGGCGTCATTGAAATAAGCGGGCACAGTGACCACAGCATGCGTGACCTTTAGAAGAGCAGAAACCGATCAGGTGTTGAGTTCTACTGCAGTGCAATGGAGAGGTTTTCTTGGTGTTGGAGTCAAAACTTTACCTTCTTTCCCAGGTAAGCCTCTGCGGTCTCCTTCATTTTAGTCAGAACCATAGCAGAGATTTCCTCAGGGGCGAAAGTCTTCATCTGACCTGATCCGATGTCCAGCTGGATGTGAGGCTTGCTCTTCTTCTCAATAACCTGGAAGAGACACAGCAGGTGTTTAGCGTTCTTCATTGAAGTCAAAGGGATGTTTAGTTCAAACACAAGCTGGCAGACGTGTGTACCTTAAAGGGAAAGTATTTAATGTCCTGCTGCACGGACGAGTCGCCCCATGTGCGGCCAATCAACCTCTTGGCGTCAAAGACGGTGTTCTCGGGGTTAGAGGTCAGCTGGTTCTTCGCAGCGTCTCCAATGAGACGCTCACCTTCGGTGGTGAAGGCCACGTATGACGGAGTGATGCGGTTTCCCTGGTCATTAGCGATGATCTCGACACGGCCGTTCTTGAACACTCCAACACTGGAACAAAATTAAAGAGTATAAGAATACACAAATAATAGAGAATGTAAGAGAGAAATGTCAGCAGCATTACTAAAAAAAGATACCCAGTTAAACACACACACACACACGTGTGTGTGTGTGTATATGTATGTATGTATGTATGTATGTATGTATGTATGTATATATATATATATATATATATATATATAA